CTAAATTCAATGCCACACTTAATAAAAACTTCTTCAAAAAGATGAATACAAAAAAACTGCAAATATGCACCGAGAAAACATCATTAGACATTACAAAAAATGCGCCCCAGTGAGAATACTGTACCTCAATGCGATATTTACGAAAAAATTCCATAAAAATAAAAAGTAGACATTATAATTGGTTTTCTTTCAAGTTGAAAACATCTTTTTTCAAAGTAAAAAGAGTTGAAAAAACTCTAGAATATTGACGGAGATAATACCTGCACTTGAGACAAAAATGGTTTATAAGAATTTCAAAGTTTAGCCATGCAATACTGTACAAAAAAAAGGATTAGGATAGTTACGTATTTAAAGTACATATAATGATGAGAGAATGATACTAGGGCAAAAGAAAAACCTCCAAGTTGGTAGAAACTACAAACGTGTGGGTCTATCAATCTACAGTAATGAACTTAGAACCGTAAAGCATCTAAAATTAAGGTAGAGATCACAAAATCACCTTTTTACGACTAAAATTTCTTAAAAAATTCCTCTAATTTCTTCTTAGCCGGTGGTCCTTTCGCGTTTGAGTTAGGGGCACGTTTCTTTCCATTCGGTTTCTTCTCGCGTTCTTCAGCAGCGGCTTTTAGTCTTTTTGCTTGTTCTAATTTGTGGAAATGATCCAACTCCTGGAAGAAAAATGCATGCTGCTTCTGCATTATAAAAATGAAGTTGAGCAATCAACCTTATCCTTACAATTCTGGGGTTTCGATCAATTTTATCATATAATCAAAACCTCAAATGGAAGATTTGTACCGCTTTGATATTCGCTGGCAATTCTTCAAAAACAGACGAGGAGATGGGTCCAATGTCGGTAAACTCCACTGCAGGAATCGCAATTGTAGTCGTCACTGACTCGAACAGCGTTGGATCATAAACCTTGAATAAAGGGGTCAAGAAATGGATTCTTCTGAGTTTGTTACTCTTACCTGCCACCCATCTTCATCCAGCATAACTTCAGGCCGCTCCTCGTGCTTTTTCTCCTTTGCTGGACTCATAGATGAGGAGTTGCTGGAAAGAATAGCAGCTGTGGATGTACTAGGCATCTCCTATAATATAAGGCATATTTCACAATAATTTAATCTTTGACAAACTCTTCTCACCAGATCCATAGGCCTCTCTGAATCTCTCTGAACGACTGCTTTTGGCCCCGGCGATGCCGTCGACGGCAGCTGATCTATTTTCATACCACTTTCATTAAGCCGCAGTCGTTTTTCTATCCATTCCATAATGTTTTGCGACTGAACACTAAGACCATTTGTGAAACGAGACGCGCTCATCGATAGATTGAAGACGGGTGGTACCCTGAAAAGACGAAAAGTACGAATATGACCCAGTCTTTATATTTACGAACCACTGATCACTTCCAAGCGGCGCTTTATTAAACGTTTTAGCTGCACTCCACACCGCCTCTGCGATCGCCTGTGGACTATAGGAAGAGATTTTCACCGTTTTGGATGCATGGATGTATGAGTCATTCATAATGCCAAAAATTACATTTTCTGCGGTTCTCTTATTCTGAAACAGAACTGTTTTTTGTATGAAAATAGCCATTATGGTGGCTTCACCTTAACCTGGTCAGCTATGAGCCTTTTGCATAGTTCCTTGGATAATCCATCAACATACCTGGAATGATGCCGATAATTTTTTTTATGAAAATTGAGTACATATGTGAAAATGTAAAATGAAGTAAGGAAGGATTTTTTTTTTGAAAAGTCTTCCATACCACAATTACTAATTTTCCTAAACAATCTTTCTAACTTTCCTCTGGCAAATTTTGAATAGAATAGCGTTCAAAAATCAATAACAAAGCTTACCGTCGCACCTCAGCAACAGTGAGAAGCGCATTTTTTCCTAAAAAGTTCTTACTAACGGCAATAGATAGTTGATTGTTACGCGGTTTCACCTGAAATATAATTATTATTAAATATTATTTTTAAGTAAGATTACCATATTTTGAAGGATATTTTATACAGGCAATTACCGGCTCATCGTCATATCCTTTCGCCAACTGGCTTATCCACTGTGCTGAACTTCCAAAGTGCTTCTCAATAAGTTCAAAAGGAACCACAGCGAGGTCGCCCATTGTCTGTAAAAAGGAGAATTCGTGTTTTTTCTCAAAAAGACGAAAAGACAGCCTACCCGAACAGGTAGTCTTCCCTGTATGGCATGACCCAACTTTCCTCCCAACATACGTACATCACCCACCGGAGTCTCCTCAAATATGACAGGCACAAAGTCAAATGGGATTATCGTCTGCTGTCGGGGTTTATGGCGAGCGCAGATTAGTTTAGCCAACATCTGGAAACACTTATATTAGAGATACTAAACATCAACCAAACAACTGGCGCTAATAAGTTAGCCAATAAGCCAGGAGTAACTCGACAAAGTGAACATTTTTTTTCGAACTGAACTTTTTACTGCATGTTGCAAATAAAACATGTTGGTCAGCAACCCCACCTTCACAGAAGGGAACGGCGTAAGTTTGAACTAATGAGTTTTACAGGGAATTATTAGCATTTATCTTGTGTTTATACCGTTACAGGTTGTTAGTGAAGCCCAACGTTTCTGCACAACGCATTCTTCAGATTCCCAAAAGTGGTTCATTCACCTTTTATCACACCTTCCAACCCACCAAACACCTTCTCTATCCCGTATATTCGAATCATCCACTATCACCAAAGCTGGCTCAGAATGACATCAACTCACCAAGTGTTTCACCCTGCTTAGCAAGAGCTAATTTCAAAAGTCTGCCTGCTTGTGATGATGACTGTACTAAGCGGTTCAAAATGATTTGAACGCGCTTAAATAGCGGCAGGCAAAGATCGCAGAATGACAGAAACGGCTGTAAATCATTTCTAATGAATAGATGCTCATTCCTCCGTGATGGTCTACCGCCTTATCTGGCGCGCGGGGGTGACTCTGGGTGTCGAACTGCGAAGTACAGCGGAGGTTTATCCTCCATCAGGGTCTCTCAAGCTGAGAAAGAGTTCGACGTTTCCGGTTCCCCGGATGTCCAGCTAAGGCCATGCCAGAAGCACCATCGTCTGGCTGACTCAGTCGCTGGGTGGCTCCCTGATTCACGTAGGGTCAGCTATTGCCTGTGATGAAAGCTTGGCAGAGCCCTGGCAAGGCACTGCTAATGTTTGAGGAGATTCCTTTACTCATTGCCTTTACAGCATGTGATAGGAGAAGAAGCCCTGCACACTGGATCACATCTACAGCATCGGATGTCATCAAGACAGTGTCAGATTGCACAGGGCGCCATTGATTTTGGACCAAAAGGGCATGTCAACGACTCGCCATGGAGATTGTCTCATGCTCTGCGCCTACAACGCCAGGACAGTCTCCACCAACGCCGATCTCCCTTCTCAAAGCTGCAGGGCGCATCACTACTACGTAACCGCCTTGCAGGAAACAACAGGAAGACGGACGCGAGGCAGCTGAGTGAGGCACACATCATTTGTGGTGAGAAAGTTCCATCACGGAACATTGGAGGCGTTGGATT